GCCGTCCTTGCCCCCCCCAGCCCCGCGTGTGTCCGTCTGCATGTGGCAAGCGAGACCCCCCTCTCTGGCTGCCCCCTTTCTCGCCCTCTGGATGGGTTTTCTTCCGCATGTCTCTGATGCAGAGAAAGGCTTAATGGGTTTGCGATTTCTTCTCTCCCCCCCCCCCCCAAAAATAGAAAACAGAGCAAGGAACTTGCTGCAAGAGTGGCCCCAATTCTCCTCCCTTTTCGTCGGCAAGCCAGGCCCTTTCCTGGGGGCGAATTGATTCAGAAACCCGGGAGAGCAATCTGGGTGGCGAAAGCCCCTGAATGTCTTTAGGAGAATCCGGTCACAAACAGGGCAGGGCTTGGATTCGGGGACAGGGGGAGAGTTGGATGGGAGCGCCCCTCCTGCCGGATCGCAGACGTTCGAGGGTGCTGCGTTTTCCAGATCAACGTGCAGAGGTGGTCTCGAACTCCCTTCGCGCAGGAGAAATGTCACTTAAACCAGATCCCTTCCTCTAGAACCAGCTTGTTCTCCTGCTTTTCCACCAGGAGCTCGAGGAAGCATAATTAATGCTCTCTCCCCCCACCACAACAACCCAGTGAGGTAGGCTGGTCTAGTGATAGACCCGAACCCGGATCTCTCCGGTGCCTCTCCAACACTTTACGCCAGGGTTTTTCGAACTTGTCCACCTTAAGATGTGTGGACTCCCACTCCCAGAATTCCTCTTGGCTGGGGAACTCTGGGAGTTGAAGTCCACACAGCTTAAAGTCGCCACGGTTGAGAAACACTGGTTTAGGGTCATAAAATCAAAGCATGGGAAGGTCCCTAATAAGTCGTCGAGCCCGGCCCTCTGCACCCTGCAGGATTCACCATCTCGTATCACAGTTTGCAGGTTTGCACCCGATCTCCAGTTCTTGCCCAGTTTGAACCCGATCCCTTGGTTCGGCCGTCCTTCCCGGGCACTAACCATCCCTAACCTGACCCTTAAACCTCCCAGGATCTTAGCCAGCATCCGGTTAGGAGTAACCCCAGACTGTCCGGACGGATGGAAGGCGGCTTACCGAGCCTTGTTCAACGCAGGGAATTTCGCTCCGCTTGGATCCTCCCCCCTTGTTTGGTTTCTCCCCCGTTTTGAATTTCTGAATCTTTGGTCCTTCCTATTTCCTGCTGTTTTCTCCACTAACCTCTTTTTGTTTTGTCCTTTCTTTTTTCTTTTTCCTTTTTTTCTTTTTTGTCTGTAACTTTGCTCAGTGTGAGGGAAATGTGAGTATTACTTGTGCTGTGTATGTTAGTGCTGTGAAATTTATTATTATTATTATTATTATTATTATTATTATTATTATTTCTGGGTATCCTCTTCCTTGGAGACGCCCCCCTGTGTCCATGGAGAGAATGTGGGGATGGGGGGGGGTCTTTCCTGCAGTAGGGACAAACAAAGAGGGAGCTGGTTTTCAAAGCCTCAGGAGCCAGAATTGGGGTGGGGGGGAAACAGGGCTGTCTATAGACCATGCCAGTTCATACACCGCCCCCCCAACGCGGTGAAGTTTGGCTTCTGTTCTTTCTTTTTCCAAGTTAAGTTTCTAGTCCTTAAGACACGTTTGAAAAGGAGGAGACGGCCTCTCCTGAATCTCTGGATGTCTTTTCTGGGCTGGGACTTGGAGTTGCCTCCCCCAAAGAGCACTTGTCGTCGTTGGGTTTCCTTCGAAGGAACCAGGCTACGCACAGCCCTGTTGGGGGGGAAAGGGGTGTGCGAAAGGCGTGCGTGGGGAGCCAGGCATAGATGGAAATGGGGGTCTTTAGCAAGAAACGGTGGCCACGGACATCTAGCTGAATGCCCACACCCTCGCTTTCTCCTTAACCTTCCGTTGCAGAGATGAGGGGCGCTTTCCTCCCTCCACCCACCCCCCTTAGCCCCGTCTCTCGGCCACTGCCCACTAGCGATAACTCCTCGCCGGCCACCCTCCTCCCCAAGATAACAACTGAGAGATCTTCGCCAGCAGGACCGGGGCGCAGACCGCCTGCTCCGAACGAGAGTCTTCCCCTTTTCCCCGCCTGTCCGAGATTTGGACCACTTTGGAGCAGGGCAGACAGTCCTCTGGCTTTGCGCACTCCCAGTGCTCCAGTGGGAGGGATGTGGGAAGCGTAGATCGGCAATCTCTGGAAGCCGCTGACTCCCGGATTAGCTGGCAGGACCTCCCATCTTCCGAGGCAGGGGCTTGGAATTGGAGGGAGGCTGGTGCCGGGCAGGGAAGGGAAGGGACCCTGTGCTTCTCAGGAGCCAGCCGGTGGGCTTTCAGGGGACCCCCTGGGGGGTAGGGAAGCGGCAGTCATTGCATGGCCCTAAGACCTGCTGTTGGTTTGAGATACGCTGCCTCTGAACACGGAGGTTTCATTTTTCAGCCACCCTGTCTAATGCAATAAATTAGCTCCTCGTTTTTATCCGTTCCCCCTAAAAAAGGCATCCTGTAGCCAGGATCATCCCGGAAAACTTGCTGGGAATTTCAGGCCCCATCAGCTAGCTCCGTCTAGCAAGGGGTCTGCTCCCCTCTGGCACCTTTACGCGCCCCTCACGGCGTATTTTCAAGTGTTTTTCTTGATTCCTTTTGCGGTTCCACCCTGACCTCCTGATCCAGCCCTTCCCTGCCGAACGTGACGTCCGCGTCCTCCTCGTAGGCTGGCCGGGGTGGATCTTGAAAGCATGACCCTGCATGGCTGCTGCGGAGTTTGTCATTGTCTTTTTTTTTTCCTCCTTCTTCTTCCTTTTTTTAAGTTTCTAGTCCTCATGTTCTCGGAATGCTGTATGTCTGTGCGAGCGAGCGAGGCTGAGAGCGAGAAAAGGAAAAGGCGCCGGCTGGGCAGTGTCTTTTTATGTGGCGTGGCTGTTCTCTCCCCGCTCTGGCCCACCCAACGCGTAATTCCGTTTTCCTTCCTCCAAAGAGAGTCGGGCGACATCCGAGATGATGATGATGATGATGATGACGACAGCGACAACGATGCTGTGTTTCTCAACCTCGGCAAC